AGCAGCTGGCATGCAGTTAATCAGCCTTTGGTAAGATCAAGAATGTTTTAGCTGATCAAGATTGATGTTGCAGTAAGTTGGGAAACTATTTTTTTGTTTGTTTGTTGATTAATTACACCGAATGTGGTATCTGCCTCTTGTGTTGTCCGTAATATTATTATTTATATTATTTTCAATAAAATGAGTTATTTGTCCTTGACTCAGCATGCAAATGTTTCAAGCCTCACCCACTTAGCTCAAAGTTAGTAATTGGGAGAGAGAAATTATGTTTATAAGTTTAATATATAGTATACTTGAATTGAGATACATCAAGGTTTTTAATTTTTCACAGTTCCATATGATTTGGCTGGTATTTATCTATCTGACTGTTGACTGGGACACGAACCACTTAAATCCTGGACTTCTGTGTTTAACCTGAACACATCAATCAAATCTAATTTCTTGATAAATCTATTCTCATCGACTCAGCCGGTTGCTTTTTCATATTTGACCTCCCCTTCTCTTTAACCTGAACCACTTAATCTCACAATTTGTAGCCTATCAGAATAGTTCAGGTAGGTGCGGTATGATATAGTGATCCTTGATAATTAAATCTGGTTAAAGACATCAAATATTTACTATACTGAATTGTGCTTAAAAAATTGTCTATTTTTGTTGGCTTTACAAGTATGCTAAAACTGGACGCGTCACTTCTAACTCTCCAATGTAGATATAATGATTGTCAAACTGATTTTCAGCCCAATCATACGTGGGTTAAAGGATTAACCATATTTTGGTTCATTAGGTTTATCTGAGCTTTAGTAATGTCTGAACCTATAAAATGAACCACTGCTTCAACTCATAATTTATAAAATTTGAAGAATTATTGTGCATTCAGAATTTTTTTTATATTTGATCACCTTTAAGCCTATAGAAATAACTGAAAACTGTGATTCTGTTGCTGAGCTCAGTTCGAATCATCAAATGTGGTTATATAAGTTTTAGAAAATACGATTACTATAGCCTTCTAGAAATCTTAATGTTTTGGCAAATCCTCCTTTCTCAAACTATAGTCCTATTTGATGCCAAATGTCAGGTTAGCTGATGAGATTTAGCTTGTAGAATTTGTTTGTGGGTGGTCATGTCCCTTCATTAGCGAATTAATTTTTTAGTAACTATGTTCCATGTGACTCACTGACACCAAATCTCTCTAATCCTTGATTGATAATCTCGTGTAGTGAAATCATTATAAAATGGAAATCTTTCTAATTATTTAATATCTCCTATACTTGTACAATTTGCCGTGAAATTTTCTCCATTTTAAGTCACTTTTTATTTCCTTACATATGATCATTTTGAAATATGAAACATTTTTTCTCTAAAGCTGATTATTACATATTTGGTTTAAGAGTGAATTCAAATAGAGCTATGTAACTTAAGTAGTGTTTTTATCCCAATATAAACCTTTTGTTCTGAAAATCATGGAAGAGTAATTTGATTGCATTGAAAGATAATGTGGATATTCATGATTTTGCTATTCATAGCCTGAACTTCTTGCAGCATGACATTTTTCACTTTGATACTAGGAGTTGTATTCAAAATTTGATTACGCTTTACACGGATTGTCAATGGTGTAAAGAGTCATATGTCAATTACTTTACCTTTGTTGTGGTTACTTATTTGCTCTAGGTAATTCATGTGAATTGTAGAGCTGTGTCAACAAATCCTGCTCGGTAATGTGATTTTAATTGCTTCTGTCTTCTAGACCTTTAGTTAACTGACAACAAAATGACCCTTATCTGTCTCAGGACTTCCATAACTTTTTTCACTAGACACCAATGAGTTTTATTTGTTCTTTTGTTTTCAGCTACATTTGCCTGAAGGAGGTCTTCATGCTGATATTAATGGGGACGGTGTCCTAGATCATGTTCAGGTGCAAAATTATTTATTTGTTTTTATATTGACTTTTTCTTTTGTTATTTGTTGATTTTAATTTTTCATTTTGATTTGTGGTGTGGATAACCAGAAAGTATCATCTCTAGTTATCATTGAAATGATCTGTAGAAAGAGTTTTTTATAAGTGATAAAAAGAAGGCTAGAAACAAAATGTCAATTCCTTTCTGGTTTTTTTATCTTCTATTGTACTGCTACCAATTTCTTTTCTGTTCTCTGGCTGTTCAGTGATAACCCTACTCTTTATTGTTAAAAAGGTCCTTGTTCAGGACTCTCTGTTACTTACTGATAACTAAACTCAGATTCTATTTGAATCTTCCTTTGTATCTGTCCTTGAATCTAAATTATCTATTCACAATCTTCTTTTATGTCTACGTTATTGTTTGATGCTGCCGATCATTAGCACACTTGGTTGATTAAATCTAGAATAGGGTTGGATGCATGTTTAAATTTGACTTATTATTCTTGGGTACTGATAAAAATGAATGGATAGTGCTGAAAACTGCTTTAATGGATACAAGTGCAACATTACATGGAAGCATAAATATCAGGTGCACATACCAATTATTTGATTAAATTGCTTATAGGCAAACAAATTAAACTTTTTAAGAGAGTTATGGTAAAGCAAAACGAGATGAGCAACATCACTTGAGAAAAAAAATTCAGATCGAGGTCTTTTACATTTTATTTCAACTATAGGCCGTGGATTGTATGAGGCACTGTTCCTCCAGATTTTGTAGAAAACTGATTGCAGTCCATATCCAGAGGTTGAAATATATTATGTGATCAGAAATCAAGTGGACTCCGTGTAATTGTATCTTTGTTCTATTTTACTATTTGAATGTGTAATTCTATCTTGACATTCAGGTTTCAATGAGCTCAAACTCATCAGATAATAAATAACTCTTTGTCAAACATGATGCACTTATTAATGTCATCTTAAACAGAGCATATTTTTATAGGATAATTCAGGATACTGGTCTGATATTGACACCTAAACTCTATTAGACTTTGGCATTGATTGGCCACTATGGTATTGTAGTAATGGTTACATCCAAATTAAAAAATAAAAATATAGTGCAGGTGTTTGGTTACTGTACTACAGTATTGGTATATTGTTACTTGGGCCAGTACTTGCAGGCGAAATGGATGGTATACCATAACATATGTTCTATTCATTTTTTGGTTGATGTGTCTTTCTTCCATTAACTTAATCAGAAATCTTTTGCTGAATTTGGCATATGTATCTATTCATTTAAATTTAGAAACTTATTATAATAATAATTGTGGATCCAAAGTCGGGTGATTTCTGTTTGTTTATAGGTTGTTGGGGCTAACGGTGCCGAACAAACTGTTGTTAGTGGTTCTATGGAGGTGTTAAAACCTTGTTGGGCTGTTGCTACCTCTGGGGTACCTGTACGAGAGCAGCTTTTCAACGTTTCTATCTGTCATCATTCTCCTTTCAATTTATTTCAACATGGAGACTTTGCAAGAAGTTTTGGAAGGAACTATGATGTAGGTAGTTTAGAGGTGGCAACTCCTATCCTGGTAAGCAGAGATGACGGCCATAAGCATCGGAAGGGAAGCCATGGGGATGTTGTATTTTTGACAAACCGCGGGGAGGTATGTCATAGTGTGTTTAAATTGCATTTTTTTAAAGGTTGAACTGAAAAGATATTTCGGGACATGGTCAGTATGCATGAGCTTAAATATATTTGGCACTTGCTTATTGCTAATTTGGTTGTTCATTTTTTTCTCCTTAGAGATTACATATATTAGACACCTTGCTTCGAAGTAATACTTCCATTTGATAAATTTTAGGTCACCTCATACTCCCCGGGATTGCATGGCCATGATGCTGTTTGGAGATGGCAAATCTCAACTGGTGCTACTTGGTCAAATGTCCCATCCCCGTTTCGCATGATGGAAGACGTCATTGTGCCCACACTGAAATCTTTCCCTTTGCATGCTCACAGTAACAAGGAGGTGATAGTTGCAGCTGGTGAGCATGAGGCGGTGGTGATATCTCATGGAGGCAGCATGTTAGCATCCATCGAGCTACCTGGACTGCCGACACACGCCTTGGTGTTAGAAGACTTCTCCAATGACGGCCTCACTGACATTATTCTGGTAACTTCTGGTGGGGTTTATGGATATGTACAGACCAGGCAGCCTGGAGCGCTCTTTTTCAGCACCCTTGTAGGTTGCTTGATCGTTGTTATTGTAGTCATTTTCGTCTCCCAACACCTGAATTCCATAAGCAAGGGGAAACCAAGAGCTTCAAGTGATCACAGGTGAACTCTAGTGGCTTCCGAGTGAAGGTTTCCCCTCTTCTCCTTAGTTGGGATCAAATAGGCTATATAGACATCGCAAATGAGTAACATAACAGCACGTCAGAGATATATATATTATCACCTTCAGTCGAAAATGTTGTTGTACTAACATTACCATGCACTCCTTATACAGCTAAGTTTTGCTTATTGCACCCTAATTGAACTGTTCCCATGAATTTGATCCATGCGTCACAAATGTTGTGAAGCTATGTGGACATGAATGTTTACTTATGTGGGTTTAGTAGTCATCGACTCGTTCAAATATCTTTTCTGGTATTTTATTATATGGTGATGCTTCAGTACCTATGCTTGCAGCCTAATCTTTCACTGGATGAAAAATCTAAACTGCAGTAAGTTCATGTAAAGAAAATACACAATTTGTTATCTTCCTTCTTTGGTTGGAGAATCTATTGAGCTCATGCAATCATCTTCCATGAAGAGTTCCCTTTCTTTGACACAGCAATGCAGATGAAGCCATTTCTCTCCCAGCATCCTTGCAGAATAAGCCTATTCCCTCACGTGCTTTTTGGTTATCAATATCAAGCAGAGAGCATGGTTTCTCAGATACTTAATCATTTTCTAATTTATCCACCGCCTGTTGGTGCTTTTTCGTTTGTCATGGTATCATCACATGAAAATATTGTCAGATCATCGACTCCTGTTATGAGAACACTATACACACACCGAGCATAGTATAAACCCTGCTCTTTACAACAGCTGTATGAACAAAGTATATATACCGTGAACATCTTGTCGGAATGCCATCAAACTTCGACAAATTTGGAGTAACACATTGTTTTTTTTTATTTTTATTTCTCAACTATCTTGCTTACACATTTGATGTTAAATTTTGGAAGAGATTGTGATAGGAGATGTGCTTGCTGAACAGCCGCGAAAGATCAGTGGTCTGCATGTACAAAGCTATTTCTCGGGCCTACGTCTGTTGCAGAAGAGGAAGAGGGAGATTTCCATTTCCACATCAACCTTTTAGAGCTACTGTACATCCAGATTCGGCTTTGTGGGATACTTGAGTCCTTGCAGGGCTGGCATTCTTCTCAAATCTTCCTCGGAATATGCAGGGATGAACCAGTATTTCTTATCCGTTCCAAACACCTGTTCCACAAACAAATTAACCATACTATTACATTTTTCACAACAAGTATACTGAACAAATAATATGATCAAGAGATGATGAACCCATGGATTTACAAACATGCCAAATTTACTCAACCATGGGTCTGACCAAATTTTTGTTTGGATCCAATTTTCCCTACCTATCAAGCAGTCGAGTTCACAAGCTGAGATAGATAGGTTTGAATGGATCATTCAGTATTTTAATTCAGGTTGATGGTTCTTGCGCTCTGGCATGAGTACAAACCTCACCTCGTAATCTTTTTCAAGTCAGTACTTGTTTGCCTATCAAGTCAGTACTTGTTTGCCTAAAGATTACTCCTGAGATATACACATGGTTGCAACTCTACTGGCAAGGCATCTTGTCTAGTGGTTGTACCATCATCTATGAAGCACGAACACATGCATTTCGTGGGCGTACCCATGTCGGACACTAATATGTCACGGACACGTGTTAGACATGTGTCTACTCGTCTTTTTTATTTATTTTTTGTTTTCTTTTTTTGGACATGGCACTGCTCCCGCATGCTCCCACAAGCTTCGTTGCATGGAGCTCACGTGGCCCTCACGTGAGGGCCATCTGCTTACTTAAGGCGTGAAATCTCATAATTCTTAGAGGATTTCTTACTAGAATCGTTGCGAACATGAAAATCTTATATGAAATCTTGTGTGGCCCTAAGCTCGGAGCCCACAACCCATGCACCCTTGGTGACCTCACTAGAGAAGCCAACATTCGCAATAATCCGATCGCCCTTGTTGAAGGGAAGGCCGAGCGGAGAGCGACACGTCGGCATTCGAAGGGCCCCCCCTCCCTTACGCTTACGACACTGATTAGTTGCGTCGACGACGTTGGCTATACATCTTCCCCGAGCCCACCTGCGTCCAAGACTTGTCATGCGCCCTTGGCGACCTCACTGACGAAGCCACCACCCTTGCTCGCTTTTGGCTTCTAACACTGATTAGCTGCACCACCAACGTTGGGTGTACATTTGCCCCAAGCAGCCAAGCCAACCTTGACCCATCACGCGCCCTCAGTGACCTCACTGATGAAGCCACCGTCCCATCCTTAAACCAACATTGTGGGAATCCTATCTCGTTGTGTCAAATCCAATCTCCTCATGGGAATCCAATCGCCCTCGTTGAAGGGGAGGTCAAGTGGAGGGTGACACGCCGAGGAGGGGAGGAGAAGCTTGAAGGGCCCCTACCACTTCGGTATCAATTCCGACACCGGTTAGCTTCTGCTTTCTATTACTTCATTTTGGAATTGATCAATGGAACGAAGTCAGAAACCAACTTCATTTCTGTATCTCGTTAGCTTCTGCCTTCTATTTCAGTGTTTCTTTTTAGATAAATCTCTTATTGCTTTTAAAGCAATGTATTTTTATGAATTTAATTATTTTACAAAGCTTCATAACACAAAAAGAGAATATCATATTAATTGTATTTATTTAGTTTATAAAATTTAATTGACCATAAGACTAATGTTAATGGAATAATATATATGTATATATATGTTAAAAATACACATGTTCTCTTCGTGTCCATGTCTTAATTTTTTAAAAATGGCATTTCGTCATGTCCCTGTCGTGTACGAGTCCCATGTCTTTGTCCGTGCTTCTTAGACCATCATCTTCCAATCTACTCTCCCTTAGTTCGACCATAGTCCTCGAATGGAAAACCCCTCTATACTCTAGGGGGAGCTTATAAACTACCAGTTGATTTCAATTAGGTAGGCATAAGACCAGAATCTACCAGCCAATCAACCGTCATCAATACTTCCATGCATAATTGCTAACAAAGGCCAAAGACTCAACGATTCTAATTTCAAAACCCCTCTGATCTATCTGAACTTAGTCAACAAAGTCGACCAATAATGGAATGACACAAAGAATAGATTGCTCAAGCATTATAGTAGACCTGGTGAGGCATTGAAAAGATGAACTAACCTGTTCAAAGTTCTTCTTTCGACCGAGATCGTACTTCCATTTTGGAGTTGTTTTCTTCTCATATGCCTAATTATTGGAAATGTTTGCCTTCATATTTATTCATATCAGGTGAGACAATATTATAGCAAAACAAAAGAAAACTAACCTCAATGGTTGTAGTATTCTTCATCACTAAAGATATGTGCATGACAAGAAACCCAAGAACACTTAATGCAAAAGCCAGATTCAACACTAGAAAATAAGAATAACTGTCAAATACCCAAAAGTAGAGAAAACAAAGTTGTCTGAAAACATAAGCTACTGTTTAAGTAAAAAGGAAAGAATACATACCAAATGTAATAAACGTAGCTGCAAGTGTTCCTGGTGTTCCAGGGATCTCCACATCTTTAAAGAAAGCAATAAAATGGGGAAATAGTGAAACAGTAACAAGAGTCGTCTCAAGAAATGTGTAAAACTGCACCCACAAGAAAGAAAAGATCGGTATCAAGGATCAATGGCTAAAATGCAACAAAACAGACAAAACAACGGTACAGCTGAAAATTTAAATTAAAACTTTTAATAAATTACTTGCATTTGTACAATATAATCAAAATGAAGATAGTTAAATTTGACAAATATCATCGAATAGTTAATTAAAATGTCACAAGTATTCAATGATAGAACCAATAATGCCAAGTATCAAGGTATATGACATCAGGTTCTGCCTGAACAGTTAAATACAGTTTTATGATTCACAATATACTAAACTGAGACATCTTGAGAACCTGCTTCACAAAGGTGAAGCCCCAGCCACAATTCTAACCTATTCCTGTTACCACTTTCTGTGGGGAAAGGCCCAAACACTCAAAAGGGAACCCTAAATAAGTCTATGCTTATTGGGGTAGGCTGCATAACTCGGAAAAAGAAAATGAGAGAAACTGCACATATGTTTCCACCCTTGAGATTGGGATCTTTTAAGATTTTAGCATCCTACAAACAAGGATTCTACAAATACTGTCTTGATTGGTTTCTCCATTTGGAATCAATCTAAATAGTCATCTAGCACCTTGAATTATAAAATTAAGGAAAGAAAGGAAATGGATTTCTCCTTTTTTACTTACTTTGGCATGACGAAAAGGAAACTTTATTTACCTTCATGAACCAACCATTTCAACCCAAATGAATACTAATTATTTATACTGCATAAAAGTTTTCCCCTTATTTCTATTAAGACCACCTGAATTGGACATTGCTTTTTTAAATAGCCTATATGAAGAATTGGTCATGGTTTGCAAGTTGAGGTCAGAGCAATTAATCATGTTCTATGTAAATTAGTTTTGGTCAAGAAAAAAAAATCAATCATTTTATGGATCGATTATATTTAACCAGACTGCATTATGTTAGATCCCAACCATCATAGTTCACAGGATCAACCAATGATAACTGAATCGGAATAGCACATGGTTGATCTTGCTGCAACTAATTTCTCTTTATTGCTTGTAATCTGCTGTTGTAATTCTGGATCAAACAAGAAGCTGTTGTGATTCCTCTTTGCTACTCAAATGGAAAAAAGTAACAAAGAACTAAAAGCAAGTTAACAAATTGATCAAGGTCATCAAGATAACTATTTTTTGTATGCTCAAAATAAACTCAAAAATCAAATTCAAAGAAATATAATAATATCCTATTGCAATGACAGGCAATTCTGAAAAACCAGTTATGGAGCAAATATATGCAGGTTAGCTTCTTCCATAAATATATAGGCAGTAACTGAACTATTTAATTTGCATGTGGACATTGCAACTTGATAGAATAGAATAAAAAAATAATAATCCAAGAGCATCAGAAGAGGCAGCCTTTCGGAAAATTGCCAGTCTACCAGCAGTAATGACAGAAGCATATCACCATAATGCTGTAGGAAATTGGAACTAAGCTACTTACCAGAAAAAGAAGAAAGAACTTATAATTTAAAGCTCCCACGCAATTTACAACCCACACACAGTGGTGATCCATCTTTAGTACACATCTCCCACCTAAATAAGGATTACAGATCAAACAAAAGAGGCCAATAGAAGAGAGTGTATCATGGACAAATTTTAACATAATCTTTCAACTATATATAATTTAAGATGCATGGACTTACAAACAGAACAATGATGGCAACGAGGTGGCTTCAACTGGTTGCACTTCCTGCAGTATCTTATCCTTGGGCTACCTGTGTCCGCAACGGGTCCTGGTTGTTGCAAATTCAGAATATGACTAGTGAACTCCGAGTTGGCTAGTGGAGCAGTTTCTCCTTCCTCCTCATCAATGACAGGCTTCCAATGTGGTGGAACACTGCCAGGGTCCGTGATGACAACAGAGAAATAGGCCCATAGAAGCAATCCTAGCTGTGTAACCAAATACATTAATTAGGTAGATATAATACAATATAAGCATACAAACTCATTTTGTTTCCCCTTCAACCTCCATTCTGCATCAGTAACTTTTTTTTCTCATAATTAGGAAGAAAATCCAGTACAATGATTTGAAGGCCTAAGTTTGCAATAATTGGATTTAAAATCTAATGTACCATCTATAAAATCAGCTCACTTTCTTGAATTGGAGTACAATAATTTGAAGGCCTAAGTTTAAAATCTGTACCAAACACTTTATTTTCTTATCATGGATGGTTGATTGACTTTCCCGGAAGACTAACAAATCTTTTCTTGATCGCCAAATCGGAAGTTGAAGTATCAAATGATGTCAAACACAATCTTGCTTAACATAAAAGGACGACTGCATAGATAACGCTGGAACATCAAGATCAACAAAATTTAAGAGCAGGAGCAACTGAAAAATCTAAATTTTCAAACATCGGAGAGAACCAGGCACAGATAAGGAGGGATTAGCGACGATTTACACAGCTGAAGACCGCAAATCGAAGCGGGAAAGGCGGATCGGGGAGGTGAATCGAGTACCAGGAGATGGAAGGGGACCAAGACACCGACGGCCAGGAGCGAATCGAGCCAGCCGGCGGTGAGGAGGGCGGGGCCGTAAATGGCGACGACGACGGCGTAGTAGCTGACACCAACGATGCCGAGGACGATGAGGATCATAAGGGAGCCGAGGCCCCGCAGCGCGGTGCAGAACCTGAACACGTTCCACGCCATGACCACCGCCCCCGATCTCATCGCCCCCCGTCCGCCCCTCTAAAAAAAGGGAACGGGTCAAAAAGATCCCTTTCTCTCCTCTTTTTCCTTCCACTTCTCGGGTTTTACCGCGACCATCAACCATGATATCCATTTCGTACGCTTGCCTCGGTCAAATCTTATAATTCACAGGAAAACGAGAAGAGGGATCGCTTCATCCCCAACTGATCTCGACCCAAACCGGACCTGATTGGATCGGGTTCGACCAATTTGATCCAAAAGTCAAATAGTTTAATCATTTTGATTAAATAGCTAAACAATCAATTTTTATGTTCATTTCATTAATCATTAATTAATATAAATTTACAATGAATTTAGTAATTGGGCGAGCAACGTGGCGGATCCAAGCAAAGGGTGAACCCGGTTCGCGTTTCCGGATCCGCATCCGAATGGGGCGATCTAGGGGTAACCCTCGAGCCTTCGTCCGCTCTTTCGATCGCAAGCCCTTCCCTTCGTCTTCATCCCTATCGTTTCTCTCTCCCTCTTCGTCCTTCGAACCCTAGCCACTACGCTCCGCCTCTGCCCCTCACGATCGCAGTAAAGCGTGGGGAAGATGCCTCCGCGGTCGGCGAGGAAAAGCGCCGCTAGGAAGATGCCGTCGAGGGCGAAGAAACCCTCGCCGCAGTCGGCGACAACCCTTCCCCCTGCCGTCGAAGAGTCGCCCTCCGAGGTGGCCGCTGTGAAGGAGGAGCCGGCGGAAGAGGAGGTTCTCGCCGCCCCGCATGCGGTGGAGGCGCCGGAGGAGGGGAATGGTCTGGCATTGGAGAACAGGGGAGAAGTGCTCGTAGAGGTTAAGACTGAGGAAGTAGAGGTTGAGGCTATGGCAATGCGGGAAACGGAATCTGAGGAGAAGGTTGAAGGAGCTGTGATCGTCGAGAAGATTGGAGAGGCTATTACGACTCAGGAAGTGTCTATTGGAGATGCTATCGCGATGCGGGAAGTTGAGGATGAGGGTATGGCGATGCAGGAAATGAAATCTGAGGAGAAGGCTGAGGGAGCAGCGATCGTCGAGAAGATTGGAGAGGCTATTACAACTCAGGAAGTGTCTATTGGAGATGCTATCGCGATGCGGGAAGTTGAGGATGAGGCTATGGCGATGCAGGAAATGAAATCTGAGGAGAAGGCTGAGGGAGCAGCGATCGTCGAGAAGATTGGAGAAGAATTTGCCGCTGAAGTTAATGGTGGCGGTGAGACAGCTTCGGAGAAAGGTGGTGATTCAACTGTTCTTCCTTCAGAAAGCGTGGAAGCTCCAAAGGATGCAGATGATTCTGCGAATGAGACTGATGTTGATGAAGGTATGTATTATGCAGCTTCGTTCTGACTGAACCGTTGGCATCTGACTCTTCATAGTATGAAAATGTGTACGTAATTTTTTATCATAAATTTGAATGAACTAGGCAAATATGTTTCAGCATCGATTTGCTTCTCACACAGAAAGGGGAAATATGTTATCTTGCATTTTGGTGGCATGTAGAAGAACTCAATATTGCTTAGGAATTATCTTGTCTCTCTTGTAAAATTCTATAATTTCTCAGTGTGCTGGCCTGTAGCTTTGAGAGAAAATAAAATCACATAATTGGAAGGATTATCAGATCCCACTTTCCTAATCGATGAGAAAATATCCACTGACACTGAATACTGCTGTGCTTCACATACCTACTAGTTATTCTGTCTTGCTTCCATTAAAGGCATTTTTTTTATTTCATCTCTAAAATCACCCACCACTTTTTCACCCTTATGATCAACCATTTTTGCCGCATCCACAGTTTCAACACAAACTGTATCCATTTGCCCAGTCTACCATTGCAGCATGAACTGTTTCTGACCATTAGGTTGCTCTTTTGTTCTACGAACCTTTAGCTTGGGCCTCGGTTCAATAGTTTTCGTAAAAGGTTAGTCCCAACACTGATGGGAGGATGATGACGAATCCTGACTTTTACCAGTTAGGCCTGGTTATGCTTAATTAGTAAGTTAAAGTATCATTGAGAGGATCATAACCATGAAAAGTAATAGACAAATTCTTAGGGATATAGAAAAACCTAAAAAAGGAGTGACAGAACCCATTAATCTTATGTGAATCAATGATATCAGCCTTCTAATTGTTTGGATTATTTAAAAACTCAAAAGTTAACATCAAAGATGTCTCCAGAGAAGCACAAACAAAATACCAGTCATGAGATGGATATGGTTGGACATTCAAAATGAGGTGTGTCATTGGTTGGTGGTGTTTTGCATTTGAAGTAATAGATTTAGCTTGATGATGGCTTCCTTCTAACCAGACTTTTGGCCTAGTTGATGGAGAGGACCAATGGACTTTTTTTTTTCACAGAGGCATCTGTCTAGGTCATTATTGTCGGACATTGGTAGAGTTGTAAAGTTAGGCGCTTTTGATGGTTAATTTAGTTGGAATGAGGAAGTGGAAGTGGATATGCTCCATATCTCTGGGTCTTCATTCTTTGGTTTTAGTAAAGGATAGTGGAAAAGGAATCACTGAGTACAGAATGTGCAGAATGATGCCTATTGGGAGTGATCAATTTGATTGGACAGAATGTGCTTCCACTTTAATTATAAATTATCAATGGGAATGGATTTTGCGGTCTGATTCATTGTGGAGTCACTAAGAGGAATGTGCAGCTATCATTTGACATTTTCAACATTACATTTCTATAGCTGTTTTTGATGAATTCTTCTCTTTCTCTTGTATGCAAATAATTTAACAGAAATATGTAGTGTAAGAGAGATTAAGTAACGTCAGTGTTGTGTGTCATACAGTCATGGAAGTGACAAACTTTGTAGAATAAATTTACTATTTGAATTATCTTGTGATCTCTTGATTTGTATTAATAAATAGATATTTAAGAGAAATATTATGAGGTTTTATGTGAACATTTTCTTGAAAAAATATTGTTTACGTGGACCGATGTTGGATTAGCATGTTCTTCCCTTATACAGATTTGTGTTCCTCTTCAAAACTGATCCAGCTAAAAAATGTACAAAAAAAATCTTGTCTGTTTTCTGATGCTGTAGGTCTAGATGTTACTTAAAATACAATTAAATTCATTTTATCAGGTACAGAACAAGAAGTCAAGAATGAAGCTGAAGTCAGCGATGGAAATGATGATGAAGGTGTAGAGGAATCAAATGATGGTGATGGAAATAGAACTGATGATAATGCAGATAATGAAGAGAATGATGAAGATGCTGCTGCTCTGTATATGCAAGCCCAAATGGAAGTGAGAAAAAAGCACAAGAAATTTGGAGTATTCGTTGGAGGGTTGGATAAAAGTGCTGTTGAGAAAGATCTAATTGAAGTCTTTGGTGTGTTTGGGGAGATTAAATCTGTAAGGATAGTTAGAAATCCAGTAACACAGAAGAGTAAGGGATATGCTTTCATTCATTATGCTAATATCGATCATGCAAAGAAGGCTCTTACTGAGCTAAAGGATGGGACAGAGGTTTTGCTTTAGACCTTTAATGCCTCCTTAGTTTTATTCTTTTTTTAAAGAAGTCAAACAAATTGTGTAACTTTGTTTTATATTTTACTTTGTCCAGGTGAGAGGCAAACAAGTAGGAATATCTGCTAGTCAGGATAATGACACCCTTTACCTTGGAAATATATGCAAGACTTGGACAAAAGAACAAGTATGCGATTACTCATTCTTATGTTTACCTCATCGCCATTTTTTCTGCATATGCCCACAAGCTTTCTTGGCCATTATCTTTGCATGCTTTTGTTTTTTTTGGGTCTTCCTGCTTACTGTCTTAGGATGTTCTAACTAGCATTTTGGATGGTTATAGGTGATCGAGACACTTAAAGGGTATGGAATTGAACAACTTGAGGACATAATCTTGCCAGATGATCCTAAAAATGAAGGCAAAACCAAAGGTTTTGCTTTTCTAGAGTTTAACTCGCATTCAGATGCGATGGCAGCATTTCAACGCTTAAGGAAACCAGATGCTTTATTTGGTCGTGATAGAAGTGCTAAAGTTTCTTTTGCAGAAAACTCAATGCATCCAAGTGAAGAAGTAACATTACAGGTTTAATATACTTCTTGTTACCTCATTTTCTTTATTCCTTTTTTTAAGTCTCCTTATCTTTCTTTTCGCTTTATGAATCTTGTCTAATTCAATCTCATTCGTTGCTAGTTGGACAAAGCTTGACCATGTATTTTTTGTAGCTTATTACTTGGTCAATATCTAACAGAATCCTATCCTTAATCCCACCCAACTCAAAGTCATCAAGTTAGTTTGGCACATCTTTCCCAACATGACAATCTTGAAACTTGTCAGCTAACATCTTTTTAGACTTCTTTAGGCTGGGAAAAATCAGTTCAAATGATGAGGGGACCTGATTATGACGGGGTCTAAACCTACATATTGTCGTCACTTTCATTCATTATTTCTGTTAGTTCTGTATTAAATTAGATTTTCACTTTGAATTTCCATATTGCTTCTCTCTGTTGCTTTGCATTTTTGGTCATCTTTCTCTTATACTGTCCTGTTTATTCAATATTTCTTAGTGATGGATCTTTTGCCATGTGCAGCATTTTTTTCAGTTGCTCTCTACTGTCTTCTCTTAATTTGCTTACTTAAGAAGTGGATTAACTTGTAGTCTGTTTACCAGTTTAGATTGGCACTTTTTTGCTCAACTAATAATGGATGCCTGTCTGCAGGTCAAAACTGTTTATATTGAGAGTATTCCTGATTTTTGGGATGGTAAGAAAATCAAAGAAATTTGCCAACAGTATGGTGAAGTAGAGAAAGTACAACTATTTAAGAAATCCACAACTAAAAAGAAAAATTTTGCTTTTGTTGAATTTACATCTCGAGAGAGTGCTGTAGCTTGCATGGAGGGGGTAAATAGTGCCCAGAATGGGGAAGGAGAGGTCAAGGTATTGCATACATCTGAATTGTCTAATGTTTGTATCAGTAAACTGTAAATTAAGTTCCCTAATTATGTTTCAAGTTCAGATTAAAGTAAACCTTGCAAGGCCTCCTAGCAAAGGACGGCTTGCCAAGCGAGGTGCTCGAGGTGGATTCAAAATTAACAAGGATG